TTTTGTTTTTGCTGTGTGCCAAGTCTAATTTTCAACTCTCATAGTCCCCTCATGCAACAGAGCAGAACTGCCCCATCAGGTTTTCTAGGTTGCAGTCCTTATGGAAACAGTTCTACAGGTCTTTCTCCTACAGAGCCACTGGATGTGTTCAAACTGTCAACCTTTCACTTGGTAGCCAATTGCTTAACCATTGTGCTATGTATAATAAAGGGTAAGGGAAATATTTGATTCTTAGGGACAGAGAACCAAGAAAGAAAATACCAGTGAGCTGGGCCAAATGCTTTCTGGCGAATGAATCAGGCAAGACCCATCCCTCTTGCCTATAATCTTACATGTGGCTAAGGAAAGTTTTTGGATGGAACACAAATGTTTAATGAGAAAAGATTTCTACGTGCTGTGAGACATAAACTCCCTCCTCTGTCCTTTTTTGAAATCATAATTTTATTGTATAGTTTTCAATAATAATACTTTTATGGTAGTGGGTTTTTATTTAGGGCAGCACAAAGTCATGGATGGAACTGACAACATCTGAATTACATGTGTAAAGCATTTAGCGAAATGCTTTACATATAGGAAGAACCAAAAACATGTAACTTACTGTTCATTTCTTGTGATTTAAAAAAAAAAAAAAAAAATTCACTGTGAGCATCACCAATTGACAGGAGTCAGCTTTGTCTTCAGCCTGTGTTCTGCTGATGGTCAGGGTGGCTGTGTTCCCCAAGTTGGTGCCACAGAATCATTCAGAGATCCCTGATGGTAAAAAAAAAAAAAATGGTTTCTATTATTTTCATTTTACAATTACAAGAGAGCACTATCATGCTTTGCAACCTTGATAGTGTAATAGAAACAAGGAAACTGTGTCTTCTAATCCTTAATTAAGTTATGGGTTTCATGTCTTTCTTTATTTCATACTGAACAGTTATAAAACTGAACTGATATTTTTTTTTTTTTATGTTTGTGTATTTGGATGTGCTCTGTCTTAGTCTGAAATAGAATGAAAGAAATATAAAGAATCAAGTAACTGTAGAAGTACCTCTCTTCTGCCATAGTTACTCTCTAAAAGAATAGATGATAAGTAGAAATGAAGTGTTTTCATAGCAGGACACCACTCTGTGGCTGACATTATTTACCTTACGTTTGTTACTGATGTGTTTGGAAAGAACAGGCCTCAATCCCCTTCTAACTTCTGTCATGATCAACTATTTACATGTAGTGCTCCAGCTCCTAGAGCCCCATCACCATTTCAGTTATAATCCCAGATTCTCTAAGGAAGCAAAGAATCAAAGGTGAACAATGCCTTGTGTTGGTGCTCAAAACATATCTGATGTATCAAGGACAACTGAGAAGGAATTCCCTAATCTATAGAAGATAGAGGCACTCAAAGATAGTCTGATATTTGGTTAATTTGCAGATTGCCAAAATTTAGTATGACTTTCTAAAGTCCTTGGAAGGAAATCTGCTCAATGCCCATTGTTTATCTAAGAGATAGCAAATTCTCAAATATAAAAATAATTAAAGTAAAACAATATTGCATGTGTACAGAGCAAGTATTAGAATCATTATTACAGACCTTCCTGTAACCAGCTCCCCAAGTTTTCTCCTCACGAGCAATCTGACCATGAAGTCTCAATCTCTACAACTCCCTAAAGTCTACACCAGGAATTTCTGTGATTATACCAACAACTCACCTGGTATGGAATTCTTCTAATCTCTAATGCAGAAATTGTGCTCTGTCCTAATATACAAAAACATGTAATAATCCGGTGAGATAAAGTATACAAAAAGCCTAGAGAGTTCATGATTGATATTTCATGAATGCTAGTTTCCTCCCTGATTAAAGGGAGAATATAGCCAATTGTTTCTCATTTCCACAAAAACAGACAAGAATGATGTTTATATATATATTTTTTTTTACAGAAAAAAAAGTTAGGTTACAGAAAGAATAGTGTACTTTGACCATAAGAGTTATTAGACAGCTAAGAAAATGGATTACAGATAACTTTAAATATAGGACTGGCTGTCAACCTGCCTATAAGCTGAAAAGTACAACTATATGATAACTCATGTAAACTATATGATAACTCATGTAGTTGTTAGCATGCATGAAGAGTATCATTATATCGAGAGCAGTGAATAAGATACTATGCTGTTTTTCAAAGGCATAAGCACATGTACTTTCTTCCAAAACAGGATTTCTAACCTAAGTATGGTCATGATCAGATAAAATTCAAATACATGAAAAATACAAAGAACAAACAAAACTCTCATACACAATAAGTATGTGGCATTTTGATTATGCTTTGTCATAAAGTGATGCTAACCTTGTGTAAGTGACTGGAAAGATATATTTCAACAATGTCCTTGTTTACCAAAATGTCCCAATGCTATTTTACTCTGAAGAATTTAGCCCAGTAACTGTGAATAAGAAATCCATGCTTTCTCAGTTTAGCTGCTAATGTTCTACTTGAAACTAAGTTTATCGTGTAAGTAATATGTGAAAACTGCTTCCCTGGGTACTCATTTAAAAATGACAATTCTCTGAAAAATTATTCATTTTCAGCATTAAGGCAAAACAAAATAATCATATCTTTCTGCCTTTTTTGGCATCTGTAATGCTAACTGTGCTTGTTGTTTTTCTCTTTCCTAGTAGACTACAACTTCTTTTTTTATATATAATTTTTATTGTTATTTGAGTGAAAATTTACAGAGAAAATTCATTTTCCATTCAGCAGTTCATACACATTTTGTTTCATGACACTGACTGCAATTCCCCACAATGTAACAGCTTTCTTCTCACTTCCTCCCTATAGTTACCTTTTCCTTGTGTCCTTCTTTCCTATGCTTTACTACCCCTTGAGCTACTTCCCTGTGCAAATATTGCCCTTTTGTTCTCCCATGATTGATCATTCTAAGGACAGTATCCGTTGTTATGTGCCGTTGACTCATAACGACCCCTCCTTGGGTTTCTGAGGCAGTATCATTACGGAAGTAGATTGCCCCATCTTCCTTCCGAGGAGTGGCTGGTGGGTTTGAACCACCAGCCTTCTGATTAGCAGTCAAGTGTCTTAGGCACTATGCTACTACCTGACATAAATGTTCACCCTAGTGGACTACAACTTCTTGTGTGCAGAGGTTATGCATTGTCTATTTATTCATAGTTCCTGATATAGTTTCTGAAACATAGTCAATTAATTTTGTCAACTGAATAAATGAATGAATGATGCTGTATTAGATACTGTCCAAAGCTAGGATTTTGGGGAATTAAGATACAATGTAATTTAAAGCCAAATCATTGAGAGAATCTGGTAAAAGCCATTTTCAGTGTATATAGATAGGTGCATTCTAGCATCTTGCTTGCTGGCTATCCCACCCACTGCTGTCGAGTCGGATCCGACTCATAGTGACCCCCTCTTGGGTTTCCAAGAAAGTATCACTGCAGAAGTAGATTGCCTCATCTTCCTTCCCAGGAGTGGCTGGTGAGTTTGAACCACCAGCTTTCTGGTTAGCAGTCAAATGCCTTAGGCACAACACTACTTAGATACTCCAATTCGTAAGATTTAAAAAAAAAAAAAAAAAGATATCCAGAGAGTCTGGGGTTGGTGTGGACTGGTGGCCTTTAATAGGTGCAATTTATTTTTACAGTTGAGAGAAGAACATTGAATCCTTTCAGAATAACCTGATTCCAACAGAGTTAAATGAAGTTGTTCATCCTTTCAAGATTTCTCACATACTTCTGTCTTTCTAGACTGTGAAGTAAATTTCCATTCCCCAAAAGCCCCTGTGCTGATTTTAATGATCCTGTCCATGTGATATGCACTTTTGTTTTGTTTTGTTTTATTTCATTGCTATTAGTGAATGACAAGTGAAGGATATTCATTTTAACATGAAAATGTCAGGTATGCACTTTAAGAGATATAATTTTTGCAGCTTTTAATGAGGTGGTGTTTCTTTTTGAAAGAAATACTCATCTCTGATGCTGGGACTGTGCAGGTGACAACTGATATTTAATAAGCGATGGTTCTTGTATTAGTCGCAGTTCACTAAAGAAAATGTCTCAGATAGCTTTTGAAAAACTCTTAGCGTCACTAGCCCAAAGGCAAGATGTGACCTTTTTATTACATAATGAGAATCATTTATTATCTTACAATGTATCTTAAAGTCACAGACAAAATGCCACTTTGATAATTGCTTTCAATTAGCTTTGAGCATAGCATATATTCATAAAATGTCTTCTCTAATTTAGACTTGAATTAGAGAAAATTGCAGACATAATCTACTTTAAGGTTGTCTCATTTAAGGTGATTCGTAGTTTTATATCAAAGAAATCAAAACGAGTAGCTTTAGAACAGTCTCTCAAAGTGTTTAAAGCAGGCTTTTCAATATTTGATTCTATTCTATTACCAATTAATTATCAAAGTAGAAAGCTAGTTCATCATTTTTGACCTTTTATGCATGTTAACTTTTGATTTTCATTCCTAATGATTGTTTTGAAATTAAGCCTTGCAGTTCATGTTGAAAGAGAGAAACAATCTGATTAGGAATATAAATAGGACTTGCCTTGATTCTTAGTACATCCTGATGTTGGGCTATAACTCAGATTCTGAATACTGTAATGGTACATCCTTTCCTGTCTTAAATCGGTGATATGTAACTAATAGTCCAGAAAATGTACTAGGTATTCATGTAGCCTAAATATGGAGCATGGGGAAGGTTAGAGGTAATATGGTATTTAAAATGTGGCTTTGAATAATTTCTATTTTGTTGTTGTTGTTAGTATACTGACCATTGGGTAATGGTTTATAACCATTGGGCTTTGGTTAGATGCATATCATTATCTCCCTTAAAACCGGTTTTTCAGATAATAGACTCTCTGGGACTATATTTTATACTTGTGATATTTCAGCAACTCATGAAATATTAGTAACTTTGATAGAGATTCTTGCAAATTAATATTGTGTTGGGGGCTTATTTTATTTTCTTTTTTTTTTTTTTTTTCCTAGATAAAAATTACTCACAAGAACCAAGCCCCAATGCTGATGGGCCCTCCTCCAAAAACTGGATTATTCTGCTCCCTTGTCAAAAGAACAAGAAACCGAAGCAAGGAATAATCCTGTATTGTTTCATTCTTATAAATCTAATTAGCATAATTGGGCCATGGAACACTTACACTGAAAATCTTTGAACCATTTCAAGTCTCCTGCTCATGTAAAATTGTGGAATTGGTTTAATGGTTTTTGTTACTGAGCTAATGTAAAGTTCAGCTATTAGAAGATTTATTGTCTCAGTTTTTGTAAGTATCTTTGCATGAAGAAAGCAGATGTTTACATGAAGTGATATTGCATATTTTTGTTGCATGCATTCTCATGATTTTATGTCTTCCACCCATACTTCTTCCAATTTCCACTTACCAATGTGCAGGAAATATAGAAAGGGAAATACCATGTGAAATATAGAAAAGGAAATACCATGGGAAATATAGAAAAGGAAATACCACGGGAAATGTGATTATCTCAGTGTGATTCCAATTATTAATAAGCACTAATCAATCATACTACAATGATTGTAATCTCAATTGTACTTTTCCCTTTTAGAATCAAACAACAGATCAATGATTTTTGACCTAGGACTTGAGGAGAGACTTAATTCAAAGATTTTATTAAGTAGTTGCCAATGAAACCTTGCTATACTAAATAGTTTTTCTTCAATCTTAATGCTTTTGGGTGGAATTTAAAATATCAGGTATAAAGTTTTCATGTCCTGAAAATAGAAAATGTTTTTTTGTTGCTTAACTTCATTTTTAATTCCAGTAATAAGTGAAAACATGTTACTTGGCAGTAAAATGTGATAATATGACAAGCCTTATTCATTTCTGCATGTGACTGTAGAAAAAAATTTGTCATAACTGGAGTAACCAAATAGATGTTTGAAACTATGTGCCTAATAAACTGTGTTTCCCACCAAAGATTTAGCAAAAGATGCTTAAGAGAAATGGGTCCATGCATAATTAATTAACCATTGTGGAGCAAAGCTATGGTTCTTATGATTCATTTGGTGATGACTAACACTATGGAAGAGGGTGAGTTATCCACTAATTATAATTAAAATTCTCACCATTCACTGACAATAGGTCATATAATACCATCAGAGCTCAAGAGTTGATTTCTTACTGTTTTGGTCATTTATAAATATACATGTCTGAAACTTTCAATGGATCAATTAAATACACTTGAGGGAAGTAAATGATTGTATCAGTTCCTTTGAGTATTAAATTGGTACCTGTAATAATATTGAGCTGACTGAAGCAAATCATGCATGCAGTTACCCTCCCCTCCTTCCCCGCCCACGTCTCTTTTACATCACCCATGTTTATTTGGAAATGATGACTTGTATCATTTTTTAAGTGCTCATAGCATGGTTGAATTCTTTGTTTAAAGAAGTCATGGAATGGTAACTTCTCTTAATGTTTCATTAAGCCTATGATATAAAAGGAAATGCTAATCTGAGTAGCCTTGGTATTGTTTTTCCATCATATTGACCTGCATTTCATCATTGCATGTTTTATGTTTTCAAACATGCTGTAAGGAAAACAAGTGCTTGAAATGCATGATTTATTAGTTTTTCCCTCTCCACTCTGCGTTAAAGTGCTGGTGATTTATCAGTTCTATTTTTTCTATTGATTCATTCATCTTTGAATAACAAATAGCATTTAGTGATTCTACTGAACACAATTCTGTGCATGGATTTATGGATTTCAAGTGAAATTGCTATAATTTTAGTTCTTTGGTTTGAAAACTCAGCTGAATGTTGTTCTATCAAATAGCTACTCTCAAGCAACATACTATAGTAGGAGATTATGTATAAAGTGTATTCTTTTAGTGTTCCAGGAACACTGGATGGTAAATATCAATCAACAATAAGCTTAATTGCTTTTAAAAAAAAGCTTTTCAATAAAATTAAGACACAATTTAGCATTCCCAAGAAAATTATCATTACAATTGCAAATTTAGCACAGCAATTGCTTGCCCTGGTATAATGAAAAAAAGAAAAAATAAAAGAAAAGAAGGAAAAAAAAATGTTATGTGGCAGAGCAATAATCTAGGCCAAAAGAAACTTCAAAGCAGTAACAAATAAATTACTGGCATAATGTTACATAACACACACTTTGATTTTTTGTATCTATGGTTACAGGTAATAAATATTTTTACATGAATTGACAAAATTATCTAGACTGGCCAGGCAGGCTTTGGGTCCAAAACATATTCTGAAGGCACAAAGTATTTTATGTTCAAAACAACATACAATTATTTCTTGGCTACTTTTTATAGTATATAATTTGAAGGCAGCAGCAGTTTGTGAGTCATTCTGAGCAATCTGTGAAGAGCAAAGCTGTTGAATAGACGTTAAGATGAGATAAATTAAACAACCTGTCTGTAAGACTTCAGTAACATAAATAGTGGGACACAGTTTCACCTCTGTGTAGCTATATAACTACTGTTAGTGTTAATCATAGCTCCTCAAACTTTCCCTCAGTTGGATTCATGGTACAATAGTGAACATTCAAATATGATTCAAATATTACTTTCCCAAACTTATTTTCTAGAGTAATGATGTGCTTGCCCTCTGAGTACACTACTCCTGGGGTTTGGAAATTAGATTTAAAAATCTACTTTGATAGTTTTGAAGTCATAAAAAATATGCTCCCTGTTTTTATGACAGCTTCAAGTGAAAAATATATATTTTAAGGAAATTCTAAATGGAAAGTTCTATGGTATATTAAAATATTGAATAATGAATGTTATCTTTTATATGGTAGAAAATTTTCTTTCATGTGTGTGGGTGGATACTTGAGTTGTTGAGTCAACCTCATTTAAATATAGTAGACATAGCATTATGAAGTTTTAAGTAGATGAAGCTCTTAAATCAAAATTAACACCGGGATTATGGGGGTGAGGGGAAGAGAGATCCTCTGTTAAACATTGTCATACACTAGTTGGTGAGCAGAGAAAGATTCTAGAATAAACCTGGACTTCCACACTTCTGAGAAATGAGAGTGAAGGTATCTACGTAGAACCAGAAATTTTAAGGGAAATAAATGTATATTTCCACTTACATGTGTATATCATGTGTGTTTAACAGGGTTGATAAATTTATTGTGATGGAAGGAAATATCTCATAGGAAGCAGAAAAATAACATTTTAAAACATTTTTCATTTGAAACAAGTCATTTGAAACAAGTCATGAGCTCAGAAACAGAGAAGTTCAGATGTTCAGTGTAGATAGTCTACTACACGCAAAAATTTCAATCAAGTTGGGATTAATGAATCATATATCTATATATAATGAATCATATATCTATATATATATAGATATATGATTCATATATATACATATATATTTCCGCATATTGTTCTGTTTTCCTTTTTTTAGGGGGGTGAGAGGCAATTACAATTTTAAAGGGAGAATATAGTTTTCATAACATCATAGACTGTATTCTACTCGAATGAGATAAGATTTCTAAATGGCTTCTTTACTTTTTGTATCAAACTTAGTTTTATCTATTGTTAGAAAGGGAAACTGGACTATTCTTGGTGCATATGACCCCGAAAGAGTATATTAAAATGCAGTACATATATTCAAAATTAAAAGCGTAAACCCTTATATGCTAAGGCTATAACCATTAAAAAAAAAATAATTGAAAACCTGCCATGGAACAGCTTCGATTTTGTGAAAGACAGAAATTGTCTCTTAAACCTAACTAAATTGCATTGTAATTTAAATAAATAATTGTATTAAATAAAGTTTGGGTAAATTCATGTTTAAAATATTCTATCCATCCTTACTGTGTTTAAATAATGAAATGCATTTAATTAAACTATTATAATTATTTTCTCAGAAAGTGTCGTATTCAATATTCTGCTTTTTGAAATAAAAATGTTAACCACTCAATGACGTGTCATTCCTTACTGTCATTTTGGCCAAATTTCACCAATAACTAATTCTCCAAGTAGCCTGACAGTCTATGTTCTTACCTACTACAGGTACATAGGCCAGCCACCCTGCTTTTGTCAGTGAAGAAAGAGCATGAGTATTTTGTGTGTGAATTCTATGTCCATTAGAACTGAACTGTTCAACTTTGTGGAGTTTAGGGCCTTAAGGTACTACTGTAGATCTCAGCAGTTTCAAAGATTCCAGAAAGCCAACAAACTGGCTGATGAAACTATGGGAACTGAAAGACTAGACCAAGTCTATGTATGAACTTGAGTCAAAATTTCTAAATAAAACAAAAAAAATTGTAATTTTATTTTGTGTAACTGATTTTAACAAATATATTTCGAACATTGACTGTTGTTGTTGGTAGGTGTCGTTGAGTCATCTCCAACTCGTAGCAACCCTATGCACAGCAGAATGAAACACTGCCTGGTCCTGTGCCAGCTCCATGGTCTTTGCTATCCCTGAGCACATCATTGTAGTCACTGTGTCAATCCATCTTGTTGAGGACCTTCCCTTTTTTTTGTTGACCCTCCACTATACTAAGCATGATATCCTTCTGCAGGGAATGGTCTCTTCTGATGACATGAACAAAGTAGGTGAGACAAACTCAGGCCATTCTCACTTCCAAGGAGCATTCTGGCTGCACCTCTTCCAGGACGGATTTGTTAGTTCTTTTAGCAGTCCATGGTACCCTCAGCATTCTTCACCAACACAACTCAAAAGCATCGACTCTTCTTCAGTCTTCCTTATTCACTGTCCAGCTTTCATATGCATATGAGGCTATTGAAAATACCATTGCTTATGCCAGGCATACTATGATGGTTAAGTTTGTGTGTCAACTTGCCTGGGCCTGGTTGAGTGGCTGGGCAGCTGGATGTAGTATTCCCCATGATGAGACTGGTAATCAACTCCATGGTGGAATCTACTGTGAGCAGATGCGTAGCTGCCTTGGGGATGTGGTCTGCTTCCTGTACATAAGGAGAAGCCTTGGGAATGTTCTTTGGCAACTTCAATTCTTTCTCCATTTATTGTGATACTGCTTATTGATCCAGTTGTGTGGATTTTTGGTTTCTTTATATTGAGGTGCAATCCATACTGCAGATGGTATTCTTCAATCTTCATCAGTAAGTGCTTCAAGTTATCCTCATTTTCAGCAAGCAAAGTTGTGTCATCAATGTATCACAGGTTGTTAATGTGTCTTCCTTCTATCTTGATGCCACATTCTTCTTCATACAGTCCAGCTTCTCAGATATTTGCTCAGTGTACAGATTGAATAAGTATGGTGAAAGCATGCAACCCTGACACACTCCCTTCTTGATTTTAAACCATGTAGTGTCTCCTTGTTATGTTTGAACAACAGCCTCCTGGTCTATGTACAGGTTCCTCAAAGTACAAGTAAGTGTTCTGGAATTCCCAT